GTTGTTCCTTGCCTTAACTTGTAGATCACTATAAAGACAAAACCCCCTCTGAAAGTGCATTTGATTTAAAATGCTGTTTAAACTAAGGATTCCTTCCTTTATATCTCATTACAGTTTTATTTTAAAGAATTATGATATCCAGTATTTTTCCATGAGAGACGTAGATAGACTTGGTATCCAGAAGGTCATGGAACAGACATTCGACCTGTTGATTGGCAAGTAAGTAACTACAACAGATGTCTACTTCTAGGTCCCCAGGGTAATAAAGCAGCTCCCAGGGGTCAGCATACTTTAGCTTTTTCTCTTGAGGATAATAGCTTTTCTTTCAAATAAAAGCAAAACATGTACATAAAAAAATTTCAAATAATTTAGGGAGAATATAAAACATAGGTCATATTCTTCCTCTGGGGTCGGGAGGGGGTTTCCTTGAAATCATTGCCCTGATATTCTTTGTCACATGAATTTCTCTTTAGCTCCATTTTTTTTTTTTTTATCCTCATCTGAGGACATAGTTTCATTTTTTGTTCAGATAGAGTGGGAGGGAGAGAGAGAGAGACAAACATCGACGTGAAAGGGACACATCAAGTGGCTGCCACCCACATGACCAACCAGGGCCGGGGACAAACTACAACCGAGGTACATGCCCTTAGCGGGAACCGAACCCGGGTCTCTCTGGACTGCAGGCTGACATTGAGCTCCATTTTTAATGTTTATCTTTTGCGATGAGAAGAATTCATTGTTCCAACTGTCCTATTCTTCTTAGTCTCACTATTTCTTCATCTGGAAGGACGTTGTTTTTCTTTTTTAATCCTCACCTGAGAATATGCTTATTTAAACTGATTTTAGAGATCGAGGAAGGGAGAGGAAGAGAGACAGAAACATCGATCTGTTGCCTCCTGTATGCACCCTGACTGGGAATCGAACCTGTGACCTTTCGGTGTACATGATGACGCTCCAATCAAGCCAAACTGGCCAGGGCCAACTGAAAGGAGTTTTATATTAAGCAAAACTTGGTAGTAGATAAAAATGGCAGATGAATACTAATCAAATGCTAGTTTTAAGAGCATTTTCCCAGTGCTGTTTATTTCTGGATGATTAGTGTAATTAACTACCACTTGTTAAGAAATTTAGTTTTTAGCATACAGGTGTTGTATGTTAGTTTCAGCCAGTGGACATCTGGGCTAAAGTTAAAGTCAGAATTGGAAGGTGATAAGATCACAGACCTAAAAATCAGAGTTAAGTTCAGCTGCTGTTACACTTGGAGAATAAATGCAACTGTAATCCAAATGAAATTAGAATCTACCAGAGCCCAAGGTCATGGAAGTGAAGAATTCCCTCTACTGACAGATATTAATGTAAGAGGCTTTAATACTCAGTATAAGTCAGAAATATAAATTAGAATGAGTCTGAGGCACACATAACAAATGGCAAAATAGTATATAAAAGATAATATGCAAATACTAAGTAACTTTCAAAATAGGAAACTGGAAGTCTGCTGTATTAACAAAGTAGCAGGACTGGCAGCAACAAAATCAAGGAGTTGCATCTGTAGGGAGCATGAATATTCATGCACAGCCAAATGACTTCTCTTATCCTTCTCCTTTCAAGAAGACAAAGGCCAATCCATCTGAGTTTTGATATTGATGCATTTGACCCTACACTGGCTCCAGCCACAGGAACCCCTGTTGTAGGGGGACTGACCTATCGAGAAGGCATGTATATTACTGAGGAAATACACAACACAGGTAAGTAGTGATCAACCTGTTCACTACATAACTAAATATGCTGAAGCCTCTTGTCTGCTAGGGGAATCTTTTCTACTATTCATGATGTTGTTTTCGCTTAGACTTGTCATAGCTAAAAGTCATGTGGTCAGGCTAATAAGGATAGTCATTTAGAGGCATGTTTGCATCTGGTTCATACCAAAATATGGAACATGACAGAATAAAAAGTTGTCTTCTTAAACACTTATTAAATACAAGAATAACATGCTACACTAACGTAGTTCTTTGCATCTGAACTATTTAAAGGCAGATTAAGATTAAAAGGCAAGGCCAAGTAGTTACAATTTTTACCTTAAAATTAAGAGGTTGGCTCACTGGGAGTTGAGTATGTGGAGTTAAAGCTTCTCTTGAAGATATTTCAAAGCTATAATACCTTGGGTCCTTTCATATAGGCTGTTTTATGCTGGAGCTTGTTTAATAGGAGCTTTAATACAGGAATACTGGAAGCTGAATGGTTGACAATAAGATTAGTAAAATGAATGCTTGATTATCAAGAGTGGCTACCAACGGGTTACTGTCCCAAAACTCATACTTATTTACAAAACGTTTCCATTTCTGTCAGAAAGCTTCTGGTTTTAAGGCTACTTTAAATGACCTTTAATTGCATCATTTAAACAACTACCACATGATACTTCAATACCATCTCATGAAATTAGGGTCTAAATAGTAATAGAGACCCCAGACTGAAAGGCCCAGGGCTATAGGAAACCCTCAATTAGTTGGGATAGATATGGAAAATTGGTTTCCTGGCTCTGGAGCCGACTAGACTCTTAGTCAAGCACTCTTTCCCTCTCTGTAGTGCCTATCAGATCTGACAGTGGCAAGGTAGTCTCCTTCTCAGACCCACAATCATAGATGTTCATGTCCTTGGGTTAGTGGCCAGTGAACCTGGGAGTTCAATTCTCCATTCTGGTTACCAGTGACACTGCTAGAGCCAGGGCTTGATAAACTCTAGCACTTGGTTGGGCAGTGGTCATACCTTGCCCCTTTCTGTCCTGCTATAATGTTACTCTTCTATAAGACTATCACAACACTGTCAACTAGATACATAAAACAGTTTGCTTAAACTAATTTATAAGGTGGCAGTAATCTGGAAACATGGGTGATAAATATTTTTAATAGCTCAAACCCTCTTTTTTTTGGTTAATCCTTACCTGAGGATATTTTCCCATTGATTTTTTTTAGAGAGTGGAGTGTGGGGCAGGAGACAACATTGACTGGTGACCTCCTGCATGACAGCAACCAGGGCCGTGAATCGAACCCAAGCCCCTTCAGTTCATGGGCTGGTGCCCTAACCGCTAAACCAAACCAGGCAGGGCTCTCAAACCCTCTTGATTACTTCTGGGCTCTGCTGAAGGCCCAGCTTTAGTCAGTGGAATTCAGATACACATGCAGGAATCGGTGGGAATGCTCCAGTAATGTGCCTGCTCACCCCACTTCTGCACAGTGCACTGAACTATGCATTGCTAACAAGGGACAGCACACTGAACAGTTGTAATGGCAATGAACATGTCAGGTACTATAATGTAATACCAATAAACCATTAGGTATATTCACCCATGTTTCCAGGCTTTATGGCCACCCTAAATATTCTCAGATACTTGTATTCTCGAATACTAGTTTGTTCAGATAACTCTTGAAGAGGCAGATTAACTTCACTCAGAATACCCAACTAAAACGTTAATTACCAGTCCTGGCTGGTTTGGCTCAGCAATTAGAGCATTGACCCACAGACCAAAGAGTCCTGGGTTCGATTTCGGCCAAGGGTACATACCTTGGTTACAGTTCATCCCCAACCCTGGATGGGGTTGTGTGGAAGGCATCCAATCGATGTGTCTCTCTCACATCAATGTTTCTCCCTCCCGTTCTATCCGAAGATAAAAGGAAAAATATCTTCGAGGATTAAAAAAAAATAATAACTACCCTGGAGAAGTGGGAGTGGTAGAGGTTCAGAAGAGATATAAGGCAGGTATGGACAGGCTCTATTGGTCTAACCTTCCCTTCTCAAACCCTCAGATGGTAACTGGAATCCAAATTAAAGTATGGCCAGATCTTCCCTTGGCCAAGTGTAAGGTACTGGGTCAGTCTGATAGGAAACCTAAAAACAGTGTCAGATGTGGAACTTGCCCTCAACGCTCAGACCTGCAGGAGCAAGAGTAATATCTGCAGTAACAACTATACTTCAGGGCATGTAGTGCCTTAAGTATTCAGATACAGCATCAGAGTTCAAAAGTGGGAACAGAGCCCTGGCCACTTTTGCTCAGTTGTTAGAGCGTCGGCGGGAGGGTCCCGGGTTCGGTTGCCACTAAGGGCACATACCTCGGTTGCAGTTTGTCCCCGGTCCTGGTTGGGGTCCTGTGGGTGGCGACCAGTCAGTGTGTCTCTCTCACATCGATGTTTCTCCCTCCCACTCTATCTGAAAATAAATGCAAGGAAACAAACAAACAAAAAAAGGCCTCAGGTGAGGATAAAAAGAAAAGTGGGAACAGAGTTCTGGCTAGTGAGAAGTGGGCATTCTCCTCTTCACACGACTACATGCAGGCAACTGGAAGGTTCCTTAATATTGGAAACTCCTTGCTCCAATGCCCCCCAAGCTCTTTCTTTATTCTCTCCAGAAAGCCTGACAGCTATATTTTATTAAAAGTTTCTTTCAATTCTCTAATATAGCAGTGTTTTAATTTATGCCCAAGAGGGAGGAGGTTGCAAGGGGCTTCCTGACAATGGGTACTTTTATAGTAGAAAATGACTTAGTTTTTTATCTTCTCATTCTGTCCAGGTGGTACAACCCACAGCAGCTAGGAGATTTTCTGAGGTTTTGTCACTTTGTTCTTTCAGGGTTGCTGTCAGCATTGGATCTTGTTGAAGTCAATCCTCAACTGGCCACTTCAGAGGAAGAAGCTAAGGCTACAGCAGGCCTGGCAGTGGATGTGATTGCTTCAAGTTTTGGTCAGACAAGGGAGGGAGGGCACACTGTCTATGACCAACTTCCTACTCCCAGCTCACCACATGAATCAGAAAATGAAGAACGTGTGAGAATTTAGAAAATACTGTGTGCTGACACATTTTCGTCACAATGGGCATTCCAGAGTTGTGAGGGGACAGATACTACACGGTCGTCTGGTCAATACTGCCTTAATGAGATAATTTGTGTATTCTCACAGTTGTCAAGTTTCCTTTCCCTCTCCATTTTGGTGACCAATAATACTACTGTAAATGTATTTTTTTTTTTTTTTTGCAGTTCACAGGTTATTAATATGTTGGAGTACTATGTAAATTTAAAGAAGTCATAAACAGCATTTATTACCTTGGTATATCACACTGGCCTTGTTGCTGTTCCTTCACATTTTACTGGTTTTCCGTCTTCCCTCCCTCTTCCCAGAGTCTGGCCACATAGTGCATCCTTGAACCATTAGCTCACAGAAGCCATATGCTTATTTCACATCTCTAACGCCATTCATTCACAGGGTCAAAGTTCTGGTCCACAAACCCTTCCCTACAGGAAGTTCAATGCTTGTGAAAGAATTTGTAATAAACCAGGGCTCCCAGGATGGCTATCTCCAATAAGATGACAATGGAAAGTAGCAGCTTGTTGGTTGTCACTCTAAAAAAGGAAACAAAGTGAGCAGTCAGAAGTCTGATAAGGTTATTTCTTTCCATTCTTAATACACAGAGGTTTGACTTGGACCCAAGGCTAGATAGATACTGTGAGGCAGGCTGAATTTGTTTGATCTCACAGCCACTTAGCAGTAAGTATATACAGTAATACCCCAGAAATATTGCGGGTTTGGTTCCAGACCAGTGCAATAGAGTGAATATAGTAACAAAGCAAGTCACATGAATTTTTTGTTTCCCAATGCATATAAGTTATTGCACACTTAACAGACTACAGTCTGGTGTAAACATATCATTATGTTGCCCTGGCCGGTTTGGCTCAGTGGTTAGAGCGTCAGCCTGTGGTCCCGAGAGACCCGGGTTCGGTTCCCACTAAGGGCACGTACCTCGCTTGCAGTTTGTCCCCGGCCCTGGTTGGGTTGTGCGGGTGGCAGCCACTCGATGTGTCCCTTTCATATCGATGTCTCTCTCTCTCTCTCTCTCTCTCTCCCTCCCACTCTATCTGAACAAAATATCAAAAAATGTCCTCGGGTGAGGAAAAAAAACAAAAAACAAACAAAAAAAAACATATCATTATGTCTAAAAAAACATTATGCATACTTTAAAGAATATTTTATTGCCAAAAAAAGCTATCATCTGAGCTTATTGGAAAAATGGCACTGATAAATTGCGGGACACAAACCTTCAATTTGTAAAAAACGCAGTATCTGCAAAGTACAATAATCTAAGGGATGCCAGTATAAGGTACTGGGACAACATACACTAAAGGATAAAAAAATTTTTTTTTTTATTCTAAAATGTCTTCAAATAGCAGTTACTTCCTCACCCAATGATATGTTTTAATTGATTTTAGAGAGGAAGGGGGAGAGAGAAACATCGATATGAGAGGCTGTCTCCCATATGTGCCCCCAACCAGGGATCAAACCCACAACCTAAGAATGTGCCCTGACTGGGAATTGAACCTGAAACCTTTTGGCATATGGGATGACACTCCAACCACCTGAACCACCTGGCCAGGCTACTTCCTCACTTTAACACTAACTTTTCTAGGCGGGTCTAGTTAGAAAAATAGTATTAAATATAATATGAAAAAACATACCATTTCTGAAATCATGTTGAATCACACTTCAAAATAGCAGTAACAATATCATGTCAGTTACATACTGAAAAGTGTTTGTGGCAGACTTGCCAATGTCGACATCCAGGTCTGGGATGGGGCCTAAGTGACCAGAAACTGGGTAGTACTTCTCTTACTTTCTCTTCCCTATGAACTCAAATGCTATCTCTACAAAGGTAGCTTAAAAAAAAAATTTACTGTCTTTTGTTAATACAAAGAATTCAGTCTGGTTCTCATATTTACTCTAAACTGAAGGTTTCCCCCTATTCCACAGGGAGTTTAGGAAACTCCCCCTCTCCTGATAATTCCTTGACTCAGTTGTGGTTTTGTATTATGCACACTACCACCTACTCCAAATTCATTTTGTTGCTGTCAGCACTTACATCAAAGGTTTGTTTTTTTTAAGTCAACTTCTTGTTGACAGGACAAAACTCCCAGGTAAGGGGTTGACTCCCATGACGAGCAAGCAGAGCCAAAAGCAAGTATTAAGCAGCGGCAGTGAAAAGTTTTCATGAATGTGAAGCTCTATTACTGCCATGTATTGTCTTCTCTAAGGAATGGAAGATGGGATTAAAAGTGCTTTCAGTGGACAAATTTTACACTGCTCCAAGTCAGAGCAGCACATACTTCTAACAAAAGATTTTGTCTTGGGATATTTAACTACACAAGACAATATTCTTTATTTCTTCAGCTTTATTAGGAGCTTGCAAGTCACAGTTCAGAGCAGTGGTTCTCAACTTTCCTAATGCCGTGACCCTTTTATACAGTTCCTCATGTTGTGGTGACTCCCAACCATAAATTTATTTTTGTTGTCTACTTCATAACTGTAATTTTGCTACTGTTATGTCTTAGGTGATCCATGTGAAAGGGTCATTGGACCCCCAGGTTGAGAACCGCTGGTTTAAAGCTTTGACATTCTAGGTTGAAAGACATTAAAGTTGAGAGAGATGAATTTTGTGACTATTTTAAAAACTTACTTTCTGGACATTGACCGGAGAATCTTTCGACTTTTGCTTAAGTTTTCACTTGTGTTTACCAGCTGAGAAGAGAAAACAGCAATTATTTTCCTCTTCTTTCAAAAGTACATGCTCTAGAACTTGAACATTCCTAAACTGACAGTGGGCATTAATGGGTATATGCTGAAATTAAACCAATTTAAATGGTGGCCTCCGAGTATAATTAGAAGAAAGTGGAGAGGACAAGATATTTTAGTACTTGTCAAGTAAGTTTAGGAATGATTATATCCCAAGGCTGTGTGAGGGACTTCTGGGACAGAGCTAACCCTTGGCTACTCAAAACAAAAAGGCTTCAAGTGCACCTTGCCAATAACTGTGAAGCAACTTAAGATTTGAATTTCACCAGCCGAGCTCCAGGAAAGCCTCTTGAGTTACAGTTTGTTTTTGTAGGCTGGTGGATTACCACTCTTGGGATATGGTTATGTTTCTTTACACCTTTAAGAGATACTTGCATTGAATTGTAAAAGGAATTAATCTTTTTAAAGCTTTTTTAAAAACCTTTCCCTTTTGGTTGTCTGGTACTAATCTAGATATGTGGAGGCTATTTCAACAGATGCCACCTGCCATCTGTCCCCAATCCCCAGTGGCCTTGGTAAGCTGATCTTCAGATCATTCCTTGGCTTTTAAATTCAGCCAATCTATCTGGTATGTACAAAAGTCAAAAATCAAAACAATCTAAGTAAATTGCCATCTCCACAGTTTACCTTAAATTCAGTACTTTACTGTGAATTTTCACTAAGGGAAGGGCATCACTCTGATTCATTTTAAGAATGGAGAATTACAACTATTAAGATGTATGAAAAAATCATCTCAAATCCCCACACTGAACCATATTTTCCCATCTAAGTCTTGCCCACAGTATCTGTTTTTCAGTTTGGATTTGCCTCATACTATTAAGAACACAGCATTCCTTTGGCTAGTTGTATATTTTCAAAATTGCTATGCAGATTTATGGAAACGAAGGAATAAGTTGTTTTTCAGAGTCTCTTAGAGTGATATATCAGAGGCCCCAATATAGCCATCACTGGTCTATTTCCATTTTGTTCCCACAATGATCCAGCTTACCTTAGGTAACAGTACAGAGTTATAGTTCAGGATTGAACCTCTATAAATTGTCACTGGTACTATTTTATTACATGTGGAAAAGAACCGGGTTCTCAATGACAGGAAAGCTATGATGTTTTCATAAGAACAGAATATTCCATCAGATGTGAGAGAAATAAAAACCTCAGATTCATAATCCAGGAATAAAAAGATGAAGTTGCTGCAATCTTATGTTTAACTGGCAATCTTTAATAAATGCAGAAATTGGCCCTGGCCGGTTTGGCTCAGCAGTTAGGGTGTCGGCCTGCGGTCCACAGAGACCCGGGTTCGGTTCCCGCTAAGGGCATGTACTTTGGTTGCAGTTTGTCCCCGACCCTGGTTGGGTCGTGCGGGTGGCGGCCACTTAATGTGTCCCTTTCACATTGATGTTCTCTCTCTCTCCCTTCCTCCCACTCTATCTGAATAAAAAATGGAAAAATGTCCTCGGGTGAGGATAAAAAAAAGAAAGACTGCAGAAATTCGATTTCTGCATTTATTTAATTTATTTTTTCCCCTTCCAATGACTGCTAAATCTTAGGGGTAAAATTATTTCTAAGGGAAATCTCTTTGCCATGCAAACTAAAAACTGAGAAAAAAATAAGAACCTAAAAGGCCATTTACCCTGAATTCAGAACTGCTGTAGCTTTGGGCAACAGCTAGGCAATGGGGTTTAATGGGCCCACCTACTTTACCATTCTTGCCCCTTTCCCCATTTGCCCAGACTTACTCTATTCTTGGTACGTTCCAACTGGTCACGCTGCTCCCCCAGCTCTTCTATGATTTCTGAGCCAATCTGGTCAGTCTCTGCGGCAATCCGATGAGAACGCTCAATACTCTGGGTGGCCCGGTTCAGGCTGTCAGTGCCTTGCAAAAGCAACACTCTTTGAGACTGTAGCTGATTCTGAGAGGATTATGAAAGGGCAATGTTAGACTTCTTCCATTATAAATTAATTGCCACCACAATCCCTATGATAACTCTTATGTAAGAAGGGATATAATGTGCAATAATTTTCATTATTGTAAGACAACCAGGGATACTAATGAACTATAAGATCTTTCTCAGGGTCAGACTAAAGCAGAACTTGGAATCCAATCAGGATCACAATACCTCCCACTCCACTGCTTGTTACACTTAAGTGAGGCAAAGCAAGAAGGATTAAAAACATCAGCGCATTCTCCCAATGCTTGTAATGAATTTGAACTGATTCAGGTACTTGCTGGACTAGCAACTTCAGAGAGGCAGTGGCCCAGATTTGGGGTGCAGAAGCTACCTGAAAATACATATAACCTATAACTTGGAAGGGCAGCAACCAAACCAACTAAACTCTACGGCCCTAGAGCAGATTAACTGAAGATTCCTACCTGATTGGTACCGAGGGACCTTGTATAAGCTATTCATTTTCAATACATACAGAAATCAATGAGAAATCTGGGTGGGACAATGCCACATTCGGGAATAAAAACCTTAGGTGGCCACACTCTAAGTAAGCCCCAAAAGAATTTCACTTTAAGCCAAACAGAAAACAAAAACACTGAAGTTGCCACACCGGTGATTTGCTCTAAGGGAAAGAGGTATTTGGGGCCAAGTAAGGTGCCCTAGCTGTCCTAATTTCCCAAATCCCCACCAGTGTTACTCCACCTATAATCCTAAGCATAGAAGACAAAGGGACAGAAGTAGCCTTTGTCAGGCCAAAATGAACAACAGACAGAAATGGGTGTATCTCTCTCTCTCTCTCTCTCTCACACACACACACACACACACACACACTCAAAAAACAGCCAGTTCATAGGGCCTATCACTGAACACTGGATACCACCATCAAGAAGCCAAAAAACAGGTCCCCAGATCAGAAATAAGAAGTCTTCCAGCCCTGGCCGGTTTGGCTCAGTGGTTAAAGTGTCGGCCTGCGGTCCGGAGAGACCTGGGTTCGGTTCCCGCTAAGGGCATGTACCTCGGTTGCAGTTTGTCCCCGGCCCTGGTTGGTTGTGCGGGTGGCAGCCACTCGATGTGTCCCTTTCACATCGATGTTTCTCTCTCTCTCTTTCCCTCCTGCTCTATCTGAACAAAGAATGAAAAAGTGTCCTCGGGTGAGGATAAAAAAAAAAGAAAAAAAAAAAAGAAGTCTTCCTAAATGATGTATAGACTAGTAGGTGAGGAAACTACTCAATGAGGTTGAGCTAAACCCCAGTTATTTTAGCTTAAAAGAAACAGAAATAAGGCTTCAAAAAAAAATGGGGGTTTTCAACTGATTAGGTTGAGAAAGAACAGGAAAAGATGGTTAAGATCATATAAATCAACCCCAGATTTGGAACAATAATTCTAAATATGGTATATATATCTAACTTGTTTTTATAATTTCTGAAACTAATAATTTTTTTTTTTTTATCCTCACCTGGGGACATTTTTCCATTTTTTTTGTTCAGATAGAGTGGGAAGGAGAGAGAGGAAGAAAGAGAGAGAGAGAAACATCGACGTGAAAGGGACACATCGAGTGGCTGCTTCCCATACGACCAACCAGGGCTGGGGACAAACTGCAACCGAGGTACGTGCCCTTAGCGGTAACCGAACCCGGGTCCCTCTGGACTGCAGACCGACGCTCTAACCGCTGAGCCAAACTGGCCAGGGCTGAAACTAATAATTTTAAAGCAAAATTATTCTTTAGACTCATCCTCCCCTTTTTTGTTTTGGGGTGGGTTTTTGATAATAAATGACCAAAGTCACTTTACACCCCTCATCTCCCTTTAACAAGCTCCACCTGACTGACATTTTTTCAGTCACTCCCTTCACAAGTGAACTTTGAAAATTTTACACCATTCTCAAATATTCTAGCTTTGACATCAGAATGTCAGGCCAGTAGCATCTGAATGTCTCTTCAACTATAATCAGGATATATCATAAAATGGGATTAGTTTATTTAAAATGGTAGTATCACCCAGGCAGGAGTGGCTCATTTGGTTGAGCATGGTCCTGTACACCGAAAGGTTGCTGGTTTGATCCCTGGTTGAAGCATGTATCGAAAGCAACTGATTGATATTTCTCTCTCTCTCAGCATGTCCTTGGATGAGGATTAAAAACAAAAATGGTGCCCTGGATGGTATGGCTAAATGGTTAGAGTGTTGGACTGTGGATAGAAGGGTTGTGGGTTCAATTTCCCAGTCAAGGGCACATACCTGGGTTGCAGGTTTGATTCCTGGCCCCGCTCGGGGTTGTGTAGGAGGCAACCAATTGATGTGTCTCTCTCCTCCCCCCTTCTCTCCCTCCCTCCCATTCTATCTAAAAAATCAGTGGAAAAGTATCCTCGGATGAGGATAAACAAACAAACAAAAAGGCACCATCACAGTTTTTCTACCTACATGCAGTCTGAACTTCCATTTCTTTCCAATGCTAATTGCCAGGACATTTCAATTTCATAGTATGGAATATAATCCCAAATGCAACACATTAAATTTAAGCTTTGTGAAGTTTTATTCCTTTAACCCTCTAGCTTCTCTAGATAGTTTCAGAATATAGATTTTTCTACCTAGTCAGTCTAACTTTATAAATCAGAATACTAGAGGCTAGAGAGGCAATCTGGCTCACTTTCTATTACAACAGAGCAAGGCATTAGCCCTTCTTAAGAAGCATCCTGCCTTCTCTACTGTATCTGGGCTACTGGGACATCTTGATATAAGTGTAAAATAAAGCTTGCATCAATTTTATAGCAATACTCCGATAAATTAAAAACCTAACAGAGCCCTGGCCAGTTGGGCTCAGCGGTTAGAGCGTCGGCCTACAGTTCAGAGACCCGGGCTCGGTTACCACTAAGGGCGCGTACCTCGGTTGCAGTGTATCCCTGGCCCTGGTTGGGTTGTGTGGGTGTTAGCCACTCGATGTGTCCCTTTCACGTCGATGTTTCTTTCTCTCTTTCTCGTCCTCTCTCTCCCTCCCACTCTATCTGAACAAAAAATGGAAATATGTCCTCAGGTGAGGATTAAAAACAAAACAAAACACCTAACTGAATTTTTTGGGCATATGTGAGAAAGAAACTGGATCAATGGGTCAGAATACAGAGTTCAGATATAATATGAGTAGGTAACACTTGTATACCACCAATACATACCAAGCACTGTTTTATATATAGACTACAAAGAAATGTAAATATGCATATGATTTGGAAAGATGTGCATTCAATACAAATAGAAGTAATATCCAATGGGAGAAGGGGAACTGGATGGAGGAAAGAGGATAAGGTAAGGAAAACAAGAGTTAGTATACACTATAACATGAACTGTACTCCACAATATGGTTAATTCTTTTTTTTTCCATCCTCACCTGAGGACATTTTTCCTTTTTTTGTTCAGACAGAGTGGGAGAGAGAGAGAGAGAGAGAGAAACATCGATGTGAAAGGGACACATCGAGTGGCTGCCACCCGCACAGCCAACCAGGGCTGGGGACAAACTGCAACCGAGGTACGCACCCTTAGCAGGAACCGAACCCGGGTCTCCCTGGACCGCAGGCCGACGCTCTAACCGCTGAGCCAAACCGGCCAGGGCAATAATGGTTAATTCTTATACCACAAGCCCCAAAGGGAAAAAAAACAGCTGAAGCTTACCATATGCTCATTTTCTACAGTATACATGCCATATTTCATGTCTCCTCGGCCTCCAGGTGTGGCTGTTAAAGGTGTGCTTCTCACTTCCCGGTGGAGTTTAGCAAGGTCCTTCCGGTAGTTTCGAAGCTTAGACATCATTGGGTTACGGAAAGATAGGGGTGCATAACGTAGTTCCTCTTCCATCTCTGCCAGCTAGGAGGCAGAAAATAGTGAGTAGATAGCCTGGCTCTTTTTTAGTCTCATCTGGGCATATGCCTAGTTTGGACTAATCGAACCACAGACTACCGCAAATCAGTACTCAACCATATACCCCACAATGTGACACATTCACTCCACTACTCTGATGTTTACACAGTGCCTGTCAAGCACAGAACAGGCATTCAAAAAGTATATGATGGAGACTTCCGGTCAAGATGGCGGTGTAGGTAAACGTGGTCCTCCCACAGCCACATCAACTAAACTACAGAACAACCATCATTCAAAACCGCCTGAAATCAAGCTGAATGGAAGTCCTACAACTACAGAATTAAAGAAGCTGCATAGAGACTGGTAGGAGGGGCAGAGGCGCGATGGGCTGGTCCCATACCCATGTGTGGCAGATAAAAATCAGGAGGACACCTCGGCTGGGAAGGTCCTCTCTAAGGACTGAGGGGTCCCTGTCCCACACCAGACACCCCGCTCAGGGTTCCAGTGCCAGGAAGAGAAGTCTCTATAACTTCTGGCTGGAAAACCAGCGGGAACTGAGGCTCAGGGAAGCTGACTGCAGCTGGAGCCCCAGGCAGCTCCTTTTAAAGGGCCTGCACATGGACTTGCCAGACTCACTCCCTCTAAGCTTGGAGGGGAGGCAGCTCGAGGTGCGCCAGAGACATACAAGGAAGAACTGAGCTGTTTGGCATTGGAGCGAGGGCTGGAGAGGGGGCTTTCTCCGGGACAAACTTGCTGTCAGAGGCCTTTGTTCCTTTGGTGAGCCCTTCCCTGGGGTGGCAGACAGTGGCCATATCTGGGACTCCAGCAACCTGGCTCACATTGGTAGCTCCACCCTGGTGATTCCCTGAGGCCCCGCCCCACTCAACTTTCAGGCCCACCCAAGCTGTTGCCAGTTGCTTCACCATAGGATTGGCCTGTCTGGGATCCTGCTTCAGGTGTTCCTAAATTTTTTCAAACAAGCAGCATCTGGTCTCAGATAGCCCCATACCTCTCATTAAGCAATACACAGAAACAAACACAGGAAGGCAGTCAAAATGAGGAGACAAAGAAACAAGTCCCAAATGAAAGAACAGAACAAAACCCCAAGAAAAGAACTAAGCGAAATGGAGATAAGCAACCTAACAGATGCTGAGTTCAAAATACTGCTTATAAGGATGCTCAGCGAAGTTAGTGAGGGCCTCAAGAGCATAAAAAAGGACCAGTCAGAAATGATGGATGCACAGTTAGAAACGAAGGAGGCGTTAACTGAAATAAAGAATAATTTACAAAGATTCAATAGTAGAGTACGTAAATCCAAGAAGCAAACCATTGATTTGGAATATATGGAAGCAAAAAACTCCCAATCAGAACCGCAAAAAAAAAAAAGGAATCCAAAAAAATGAGCATAGTGTAAGGAGCCTCTGGGACAACTTCAAGCGTGCCAACATTCGCATCTTGGGGGTGCCAGAAGAAGAGCAAGAACAAGAAATAGAAAACCTGTTTGAAACAATAATGGCAGAAAACTTCCATAACTGGGTGAAGGAAACAGACATACAAATCCAGGAAGCACAGAGAGTCCCAAACAAGATGAACCCCAAGAGGTCCACACCAAGACACATCATCATCAAAATGCAAAAGTTTCAAGATAAAGAGAGAATCTTAAAAGCAGCAAGAGAAAGGCAGCTAGTTACCTACAAGGGAGTTCCCATAAGGCTGTCAGCTGATTTCTCAAAAGAAACTTTGCAGGCCAGAAGGGAGTGGCAAGAACTATTCAGAGTGATGAAAAGCAAGAACCTACAACCAAGATTACTCTATCCTGCAAAGCTGTCATTTAGAATCGATGGCCATATAGTTTCCCAGACAAGAAAAAGTTAAAGGAGTTCATCACCACCAAACCGTTATTATATGAAATGATGAAGGGTCTTTTTGAAGAAAAATATAAAATATATGAACAAACAAAATGGCAATGAATACATATCTATCGACAATGGCATCTACAAACAAAATGAACAGGCAGGACAGAAACAGTCTCATAGATACAGAGAACATTTTGTTGGTTGCCAGATGGGAGGGGGGTTGGGGAAACGGGTGAAAAAGGTGAAAGGATTAAGTACAAATTCATTGCTAGACTGACAAACCTCAAAGGGAAAGGGGTTGTGGGGGTAGGAAGAAATAAACCAAAGAAATTATATGCATAACCAATGGACACAGACAATAGTATGGGAAAAGGTGGGAGGGGGGCGGGAGTGGGGAGGAGGGGGTCAATGGGGGAAAAATGAGGAACATCTGTAATACATACAACAATAAAGATTTAAAAAAATAAAATAGCCCTGGCCAGTTTGGCTCAGCGGTTGGAGCGTCGGCCTGTGGTACAGAGAGACCCGGGTTTGGTTCCCGCTAAGGGCGCGTACCTCGGTTGCAATTTGTCCCCGGCCCTGGTTGGTCGTGCGGGTGGCAGCCACTAGATGTGTCCCTTTCACATCGATGTTTCTCTCTCTCTCTCCCTCCCGCTCTATCTGAACAAAAAAATGGAAAAATGTCCTCGGGTGAGGATAAAAAAGTAAAAAAATAAATAAATAAACAAACAAACAAACAAATAAATAAATAAATAAAGTAAATAAAAATTAATAGAAAATAAAAAGTATATGATGAATAAGTGGGAAAAAAAACTAACAAGTACCTTATAGCTTATTAAACATTTTTATATGCATTCATTTAATCATCACAGCAAATCAACAAGGTAGGAAATACTATTTCTATTTCATATATAAGACTTGAAGAAAGCTGCTCAACATTATACAAAAAGGGAAGTCAGGATTAAAATCTTCCTATTCTCTTTTCAGCATTCCGAGTTCTTAGTCTGTTATGGTTCAAGTGCTATCAGGAAGCACTTTGAGGTCTACTGTTCAAAAATTACAAGGGTCTGGCAGCAAAGCTCTTCCCTTCCTTCTCTTTCTGAAAAGCAATTGTTTGTCTCCATATCAGAGATCACCAAGGGTCCAAATCAGTGTAAAATATAAAACATGAACATGTTCATAAGAGGCCATAAATTATTTTCATCTGCCTAGGATGGGGTTAATTTTGCTAAGTTCAGAGAAAGAAAGTAAGCACCAAACAAACTGGTATTAGTTCAAAGATTTTTTAAATGCTACCAAGATGTTAACCAAAAATGAAGATTGGCTCTGTAACAGGCACCATAAATATGCCCAGCTGTACTCAGTTACTATATTAAGAAAAATTCCTAGTACTTTCACTATGAAGAAGATAGTCTTCACAACCTGGTGATCTGATCTTTTTTTTAAACATGAATTTCTATTGATTTTTTAGAGAGAGAGGAAGGGAGAAGGAGAACGAGATAGAAACATGGATGTGAGAGAGAAACATTGATCAGCTGCCTCCTGCATGCCCCCCACAGGGGACTGAGCCCAAAACTCAGGCATGTGCCCTGACCAGTAATGGAACCAGGACCTCTCAGTCCATGGGACGATGCTCAATCCACTAAGTCACACTGGCCAGGCAATCCTTTTTTTTAATCCTTACCCAAGGACATTTTTGCATTTATCTTCAGATAGTGTGGGAAGGAGAGAGGGAGGGGGAGAGAGAGACACACACATCGACTGGTTGCCACCCGCACGGCCCCATTGGGGTCAGGGACAAACCGCAACCGAAGTACGTGCTCCTACTGAAAACTGAACCCAGGACTCTCCTGTCCACAGGCTGACGCACTAACCACTGAGCAAAACTGGCCAGGGGTAGGTGATACTTTTTTAAATAGATGTACAACAGAGAAAAGGATTCAGATAAGCTTAACTTCTCAGAACTTCACTGGAACAGGGAAGTTGTTCTTCAACAAGCAGGAAGGAAGATCTGGTTTAAAAACAATGTTACTTCTCAATCTAAGTCAGGATAGCAAAAACTAGGGGTGTAACTATTTCTGCAGAGTACTACTAGAGACCTGGATTTTAGCCCAGTCTCCTGAAGGGTTTGCTGAAGCTAGAGCATAATGGAGACAGAAGGACTCTTCTAACAGGTGAGAGCAAAGCCCTTTTTTTCTTTTAAGCCACAGATTAAGACAAACAAGTGTTAAACTGCTCAGCAATCTGGACCAACAACTTTATTTAAATAAATTTCAGAGTAACTTGATTGAACCTTTTGGAAATTGTTCTTCCTTCTAATAAGGACTGGTGACCAGCTTTTAAATGAAATTTTAAAAAGACCACCCAGGTAAAGGTATAAGAATGCCCTTTGCAACTCACATCAAGAATGTATTATCAAAGCCTCATTTCAGGACAGTCTTCAAGCTTTACTCATTTGTGTTTGTTAACCTCCACCCCCAACACCCATCCTCATCAATTGGTCTCATTTAGTCAGAAATAATGAAAATCAGGATCAATAGGCAGGAACAATTAATCTGTGATCAGGTCATAAAAATTATTTTTGGAAAATATGAACATTAGGTAGAAGAAACTGTTCTCACCGTTTCATTTGCTTCCTGTTGCTTTTCATCAAAATCTCTGATCAATTTCTTCTTTTCTTCTAGAAAAGATAAAACAAGTTTCAAGTGCTCAGTACTGTTTCTATACATTTATAGAGCCCATTCCCTCTGCATAGAATAAACTCCCCATTTCTTCCTTGTTGGGGGTAGTAGTACTTAATCACTCCTAAAAGGCATTTAGAAAAGTATGGGAACTTGTCACAACGACTGGAAGAAGGGAAGAGGGGGAGTATTACTACTGGCGTTTAGTGCCTAGGGAATAAGAATGTCCATGCTTGGCAGTCCTACGTAACAATTATCCGAACCCAAAGGCCAACAGTGTCCCTACTAAGAAGCAGTTCTAAGTTAGTTGTTGTTAAACCACCCAACCCCACAATCCTAACAGAAAGACCAGGCACACTATCATCACTAAGAACATTTAACAATACTGGTTCTGAAATCCCTGTCCCCACCTTCGCCCACATCATAAAATCACTTCTCTATTTAACCCCCATCCACTGCTTCTCTGCAAGACAAATTCAAAGCCCACTTACTCTCTGGCCAGGGAGGCTGCATGGTATGGCACTGTTTCTCTGCCACACCGACTGGCAGTGGTATGGAACTGACTCACACAGTGAGAAAGTCATTCCGATTCTGATTATGTCCTTTTGGTGCTAGTATGTCATTAATACCTAAAAATTACTATCCTTTTTAAAAACAGAAAAGGCTGACCTAGCCAGTTTGGCTAGGCACATACAAGGGCACATACCTGGGTTGCAGATTTGATCCCCAGCCTCAATTGGGGTCATGCAGGAGGCAACCAATCGATGTGTCTTTCTCACATGGATGTTTCTCTCTCTCCCTTCCTCCTTCCCTTCCACTCTATCTAAAAATCAATGGAAAAGTATCCTTGGGTGAAGATTAACAAAAGAAAGAAAAAAAAGAAAATGATTACGTAATAGTAAAAATGGTACTTGGACATGGCAAAAACAATGAAAGGAGCCCTGGTAAACATGCTGTCACCTGGTAAACATTTATACAAGAACTGCTAGTGGAAAAGGGGATTAAGTCCTGGTCCCAGCTTTGGGCTTGACTTAACATGTAAGCTTGGATAATTCTCTTCATCTCTTTGGGACCTGACCTTCCTTGGCTATAAAGTGAGACAGGTCATCCCTTTATATCTAACAAGCAAAAATTAGCCCTTTTTATGAGGAGCTTGATTTTTGAAAATGTATATATTCAAATGAATGTTCTCCCTGGAAATCTACACATAATCTACTTATTACCACAAAGGTTCCATTGCTTACAATGTTTTCTGAACTCTTCTTTTGGAATTACCTTCACAATCTAGGCAATAGTCCCTTTTTTACTGTAGATATCCATCTATCTATCTATCTATCTATCTATCTATCTATCTATCTATCTATCTATCTATAGATATCCATATATATATCCATTTTGAACATTTTTAAGTATACAGTTAAATAGCATTAAGTACATTCACACTGTTGGACAACCATCACTGCTATACTATACATCTCCAGAACCTTTTCGTCATTTCAAAGGAAATTCCATAGTCATTAGACACTAACTCACCATTCCCTCACCCCCGACTCTGGAAACCACCATTCCACTTTCTGTGTCTATGAATCAGACTACTCCAGGCACATCATATAAGAGTAATCACACAATATTTGTCCTTTTGCATCTGGCTTATATCACATGGCATAATGTCTTCAAACTTCACCCATGCTATAACATGTATGAGGCTACTCTTTTAAAGCTGTGTTTTTTTTTCATTCAATGTGATTCCTAAATACAAGCCAGTACTTCCATCTGCGAAAGAAAGAGTAATCTTTTCCAATGCCAAAGAAAACAGCTGAGTTGGGCTTATGGAGGGATAGTGTATGGATACTCAATATGCTGTCCTAAATTTTTCCTGGATAATTTTGTTTACCCTGATTTTCACCTTAAGCCTTGACTTTCTTACTCAATCCAATATAAGATGTGATACCACTATAGTGCTTTATATAGATTTCCACATAAATGGAAATTAATATAAGTCAATCATAATAGCATCTAGCATGTCAGTTGTCTGCTGCTTTTTAAATGATTATAAATAATTTTGGATGTGTATATTCTTTTTTTGTTTGTTTTTTTTAGAGAGAGAGAGAGAGATAGAAACATCAATGTGAGAGAGAAACATCGATCAGCTGCCCCCTGCATGCCCCCTACTGGGGATCAAGCCCAAATCCTGGGCATGTGCCCTGACCAGGAATGGAATCAGGACCTCTCAGTCCATGGGGCAACGCTCAATCCACTGAACCCCACCGGTATGGCCAGCTTATATAACCGCAGGGTCAGCGGTTAGACTCTGTTGGCCTCCGGGCCGGAGAGTCCTGGGTTTGGTTCCTGCTAAGGACATGTACCTCAGTTGCAGTTTGTCCCCAGCCCCAGTTGGGGTCGTGTGGGTGGCAACCAGTCGATGTGTCTCTCTCACATGGATGTTTCTCTCTCTTCCTCTCTCCCTCTCACTCTATCTGAAAATAAATGCAGAAATGTCCTTGGGTGAGGATAAAATAAATAAATATACTGTACTCACTTCACCACATGAGATCCTTTATGTAATCCTAAGATTTTTTTTAAAGCCTTTGAAATCATCCTTTCTGATGATGAAGTCAGGGAGGCAGATAATTAAAGGTTCAAAAGAGCTTGAACCCTACCCAACTGAGATATCAGTAGCTGCTTCTTTATACTTTAGTTGTAGAATTGTGAAATCAATGAATGTTAGAGCTGAGATGAATCTCAGATGTCATCTATCTAGTCTAACCTCACTTTACAGTTGTAGAAATTAGAGCCTGGAGAAAATGCCTTTCCCAAGGTCACAGGAAGAGTAAAGGCATGCAACACTAGTTCTAGAATGCAAGTCTCCTTACTCCCAAGCCTATGCTTCTGTACATTACAGTGCTGAGGAGCATTCTTGTGCTCCCAGGGTATAGCCTTTAGCAACAGGTAAAATCTGTTCAGAACTCTTTAATTTTTGAAAGTTAAGATTAATGCTATAATCAACTACAAAACAGCAGGTCTGCCTACTGGATGGAATGGGCACCAGAAACAAGAGTTAGCCACTCTAACACTGCCCCCATCCCACACCCCACACGCCTTCCCAAGCCAGTCACATGGGAGTTACTCACTCCAAGACTGATTCTGTTTGGTAAATTAGGTGGTTGGCAGCACCATGTCCTGGACACGGAATAAAACAAGCAGTCACAGCTCTGAAATACAGCTAGAGGAAGCCTACTTTAATGTTCAACAAGGTCACAGCTCTCTTCCATATAGGAGGTTTGAATTACTAGCTCAAGAATGACTACCCTTGGCCCATTACAGCTGTAGAAATAACTTTGGTTTTCACCATCTTTACAATATGTGACTAATTTGCTGTTGGCGCCCCAGTGTGGCACTTCTAAGACCTACAATCTCTTTTGTTTGTTTTTGTTGTTGTTGTTTTAATTTAATTTTATTTTTGTTACAGATGTTTCTCCTTTTTTACCCCATTGACACCCTCCTCCCCATTCCCCCCTGCCACCTCCCAGCTTTATTGTCCATGTCCATTGGTTCTGCATACCTGCATATAAGTTCTGTGGTTTATCTCTTCCCAACCCCCACCACCCCCTCTTCTGAGGGTTGTCAGTCTGTACCCTACTTCCATGTTTCTGAGTCTATCATCAGACTGTTATATTCATTATATTCCATATATAAGTGAGATCATGTGGTATTTGTCTTTGTCTGCTTGGCTTGTTTCGCTTAGGATAATACTTTCCAGGTCCCTCCATGTCATCTCAAAGGATGAGAGATCTTTCTTTCTTACAGCTGCACAGTACTCCATTGTGTATATGTACCAGTTTTTTTATCCATTTGTCTACTGATGGACACTTGGGCTGTTTCCAGATCTTAGCTATTGTAAATAGTGCTGCTACGAACATGGGGGTACATATATTCTTTCTGATTGGTGTTTCAGGCTTTTTAGGGTATATTCCTAGAAGTGGGATCACTGGGTCAAATGGAAGTTCAATTTTTAATTTTTTGAGGTAACACCATATTGTTTTCCATAGTGGCTGCACCAGTCTGCATTCCCACCAGTAGTGTACTAAGTCCCCTTTTCTCCACACCCTCGCCAACACTTGTTGTTTGATAATTTGTTGATGGCAGCCATTCTGACAGGTGTGAGGTGATACCTCATTGTTGTTTTAATTTGCATCTCTCTGATGATTAGTGATGTTGAACATTTCTTCATATGTCTCTTGGCCATTTGTATGTCCTGTTTGGAGAGGTGTCTATTCAGCTCCTCTGCCCATTTTTTAATTGGGTTGTCTTCCTTTTGTTGAGTTGTATGAGTACTCTATATATTTTGGAAATTAACCCCTTACCTGATGTATCATTGGCAATGATGCTCTCCCATACAATGGGTTGCCTTTCCATTTTGATGGTTGTTTCTTTTGCTGTGAAGACTCTTTTTAGTTTGATGTAGTCCCATGTGTTCATTTTTACCTTTGTTTCTATTGCCTTAGGTGATGTATCAGCGAAAATTCTGCTGTGTATTTTGTCCGAAATTTTGTTGCCTACATTTTCTTCTAGAATTTTTATGGATTCACGGGTCACATTTAAGTCTTTTATCCATTTTGAGTTTATTTTTGTGTATGGTGTAAGTTGATGGTCTAGTTTCATTTTTTTGCATGTAACTGTCCAATTTTCCCAACACCATTTATTAAAGAGGCTGTCTTTACTCCACTGTATGCTCTTGCCACCTTTGTCAAATATTAATTGAGCGTATTGCCTTAGGTCTGTTTCTGGGTTTTCCATTCTGTTCCACTGGTCTATATGCCTGTTCTTATGCCAGTACCAGGCTGTTTTGATTACAGTCGCTTTGTAGTATAACCTGATATCTGGTGTTGTGATCCCACCTACTTTGACCTTCTTTTTCAAGACTGCTGTGGCTATTCGGGGTCTTTCTTGGTTCCCTATGAACTTCTGAAGTATTTGTTCTAGTTCTGTGAAATATGTC